TATATATATATATATATATATATATATATATATATAATAAATCAAGATAGATATTTACCTTTCTTTGATGATTTATATATAATTTAACAGTGTTAATGGCTATCTTGATATATTATATGCAACTATTTGTTTCCAGCCGTACTTAATGTGTAATGCCTTGGCATTTTATTGCACAATTTCTTTATTAATTTATTTATAGGACTACATTCGTTGAGAGCTATGTAATGCTACACGATGTATTATTATGTCCTTTATTCGAACACTGTATTTACCTTTCTTTGATGATTTACATATATATATTTACCCTTCTTTTATGATTTATATCTGGCAATACGGCTAGGAATACTGTCGTATATTATATGACATTGAAGGAAGTTAGCCGTTAACACTGTTGAATAAATATAATATAAACAATCAAAGGTACATATACAGTGTTTAATAAGGACATGATGGGACATCGTAGGCTACCCTGTAGCTTTTCAACGAATAAAGTCCTATGAAAGGTCATTGTGTAATAAAATGCCTCCGACGGGATTCAAACCTGCGACCTCTCGCTGACAACGAAGGCCACGAAGGCTTCATGGTTGAACAGGTCCAAATAACCGCCGGGAACATTGTATTACACAATGCTACGCCTCAAGAGGGCATTTGGCCAGATAAATCTGGCAATACGGCTAGAAAACTGTCCTATATATCATATGACAAATATAATATAAATAATCAACGGTACATATAGTGTTTAATAAATACATGATGGAACATCGTAGGCTACCCTGTAATAAGGACATATATATATATATATATATATGAACATACTTTATATACTGTAATGTAATGTAATTTTATATATAATTTAACAGTGTTAACGGCTATCTTAATTTACATTATATGCAACTATTTGTTTCCAGCCGTACTTATTGTGTAATGGAGTGTATCTGGTGGTATTTGAATCTGTTCAACTATGAAGCCTCCGTGGTTTAATGTAATATAATTCTATATACTGTATATATAATTAGTGTAGGTTCCACTTGTGACTTGAAATAAAATATCTTAATTCAAATATGTCGAGCACTCCTGTGCTCTTCCTCAGTGATAACATGTAATATCATAAGCCTATGTGTTATCAAAAGAATATATGTAAAGTGTATGCATGTTATATGAACAGCGACTCGGGCAAAGTGAGGCCCAGGAGCGATTCCCCTGAAGTTTTTTATCTCCATCGCCACCCCGTGAATATCAAAGTACTGTAGTAACTCGACAGTGCGGGAAAATATTATAGAAATGAGCAACAAATGTTTATTTATTGGGTAATAATATTTAGAGCCTGATACACCTCGACTACACACTCACTTTCATTTCAATGATCATTATTAAGGTACACTATTTATTTTTCTGGGTGGAGAGAGCAGTGGCATATCTAGGAGCATTAAAATGGGAGAGGGGGATCGATGATTAGTCGATGGACGGTAGCTCGCATATGCAGTAAGTATGGTCATTTGAGGTGGGAGAGGGGAGGGTGGCAAGACCATGAACAAGCGAAATTCACAGCGCAGGTTCGAACCTACTATCATTACTGTACATTATAAAGACCTTGAGTACCAACCACAATAATAATAATAAGAATAATAATTTATGAAGCGCCAATATCACTAAACCGAAGTAAAAATCAAAGGCGCTGTGCATGTTCAAATGTTAAAAAGGTGAGTTTTGAGTTTGGTCTTAAAAATAGCAACTGAATTTAGTCGGTAATATGTTTTGGGCAGGAGTTCCAAAGTGTGCAGCTGAAAATAAAAATGATCTGGGGCCGTAGGATTTTTATGGCTTCTGGCTAGACCTGTTAAACCTAGGCGTCCATAAACTGTACCCAACCGCGAAAGGCCACAACTGCTGTACTCTAAACTGGTATAAGCTAAATTGCACCCACTCTCAACAACAGGTGGTGGTGTCTACTACTGACACTGTACCTTGGGCTGGTTCGGCCTAGCTAGTCGCGGATTCAGCAATGCTCAATAAAAATTTTCAGCCTTCACCAATTCTTCCTAACTACTAAATGTATATCCCAGTTGAAATAAGTCTTGTCACATTGATTAATTTGGAATAGTTAAGCGCATAGAGTTTTAGATATGCGCTATGAAAATACACAATAATAATAATAAGAAGAATATTGACAAAACAAACAAAAACAGATAACAATATTAAATTCTTTTAATATCACATCGTCAAATATCACGGTTCACACTGTGTAAAGTATCACGAACAAAAAACCGCAAAATTGATTGTTTTTAAAAAGCGAGCTTTTTAAATCATGTGATACAAGCGAGCTTTTTCATCATGTGATACTATGGTGTGCTGCAACTGGTTGCTTGTCGCTGTGCATATAAAGGCCAACTCAGACAGCGTCGGCCGACGCAGCCCGACGCGATTTGTTGTCGCGTCGGGTCTGTGTGAGTTGAACGCAGACGCGATGGTGTACGTCGGGGGCAGTCGCGTAGTAGAATATTAAACGTGTTTAATATTTCTCACGACGGCTTAAGACTGTCCCCGACGATAAATCGGGTCGGGCTGCGTCGGCCGACGCTGTCTGAGTTGGCCTTAACAAAACCACTTCTGTTGTATACACAGCCGCTCTGCGTATATCCAGTCTCTTTCATTATATTACAGTATTACTAAAAATATAATTTAAGTAAATCATGGAATAATAGTAAATTTTACATTTTCAAATACATTTCATATTCATTTTCATACACCTCTAGTTGCAATACTTTTTCTTTTCTAAATTTTACACTCTATATATTTTTTATATTTATCAATATCAGTTCAAATATTGTTGTATTATAAGTGTGTTAATCTGTTATAATGTTTTTTCCTTATTCTAATTTTGTACTTATATTTCAATATGGTTTGCCTTTTGACAATGAATGATATCTAAATCAAAGAAACCCATTTTCTCTCCACAAAACACTGGGTAATTTTAAAATATGTAAAAAGGAAATGTATGTGTGATTATTTTTAAAGCTGAAGGAAGCCTTCTGCTGCAGCCAGGTTATACAAGAAGTTTTGTGTGGCAGGGGGTAGGTTCTTTCCCTTTAGAATATCCATTGATATACTTGGAGTATCATCCTCATCTACTACCTCTCCTAATGACTTCAAATTGTTGATTAGTTCCTTTGTCTTCACTGATATCTCCTGTAAAAACAATGATACAAAGACTATAAACCAAAAATTTAATTAAACAAAACACAAACCAGATTTGAACTTGTCACTTTGGATGAGTTAGGTGGTCCGCCACACATTTAAACTTTAACCCTCAGGAAGCACATGTGGCATGGATTGAAAAATATTTAAATGCTCAAATTATTAACAATAAAGTTCTCTAATTACGGCACAGAAAGTCATATGAGATATACATGTCAATTCTCATTGAAAAACACCTGTCCCGGGATTTATCAATCTCAGCTTAGCAAATGTCTTAAGTCAAAAAAGTTCAGATGTCCCTAAGCAAATATCTTAAGCTGATTTTTCAAACCATTTTAACAAAATCTTAGCTTAAAAATCATCTTAGATGGCGCATGCGTACAATCGACTGTTTAATTTTGTGCAATTTTAAAGCTAAGCAATATTGATAAATTTGACTTAAGCAAAAAAATGGACTTGAGTACCAACCACAATAATAATAATAATAAGAATAATAATTTATGAAGCGCCAATATCACTAAACCGAAGTAAAAATCAAAGGCGCTGTGCATGTTCAAATGTTAAAAAGGTGAGTTTTGAGTTTGGTCTTAAAAATAGCAACTGAAGTTTAGTCGGTAATATGTTTTGGGCCATCTTAACAAAATCTTAGCTTAAAAATCGTCTTAGATGGTGCATGCGTACATTACCAACAATCATAAAATTTGGCAAAGATTTCAAGGAAGAAAGATGAAAGAGGGGGGGGGGAGTGTCAGAAAAAACATTCATTTTAACCAAGATGACGTCATATAAACTGTAATACTTGTGTAAACTGTAATTAAAAAATGCCTGTTGGTTGGTAATGGCATATGAAATTGACCATATTACTGTTGAAATTCAGTCTGCTCCCCTCTATTGGGTTGTCAAAAAGATGAAGAAAAAAAGAGTTCGGGGAGGGGGTCAGAAAAACATTCATTTTGACCATAATGACATCATCAAAGTGAAAAATGAATGACACTTAGTGAAAGGAAATTGTCTCAGCTATAACCTACTCACAGGTGGGAGATGATCGATCAAGAATAAGCGAGATACGTTCAAATCAGTATAAAAATAATGTCATAAATAAAAATTCAGTTTATAAAAAATTCAGATGGCAATATGATGATGTCACAATGTCCGATCAGCCATAATGATCTATAAAATCACATCTACAAATCATGTGCTTACAGAATATGTAATAAAAATTGGGGGTCACCTATCATCATAAAGAGCTATAACTGATTAAAAACAGGGATGATTTTAAGCATATTTAAATTTTGATGCACGCGTATGTGTAGGTTATAACACGCTCACAGAAAATTAAGGTACATGACAGTGGCAGATTCCCCCCCCCCCCCCGTGAAGAATCAACAAAATACTACTGGTCCTGGCGTACAAAAGGCATGCTAACCTACCAATTAGCCATTTCTGTTCGCACAATATCTCAAAATTGGCACGTGCTACGCACTAGCGCGCTTCAACAAACATTTGGCTTGGCATGGAATACTGTAGTCACGGTAAGCTTTTCAACATGCTCAGACATGCGTGACGTCATCTACGCGCAATTTTCCGTTTAAACATTATCGATCATATCATCCAATTGCCATTTCTCAACCATATTGAGTGGGCATAAACTTCAGGTCAAGGTTGAATATCACGTACCAAAATATTTTGCGTGCGCGTCATAACATACTTTGGGTTCCTGACATTGTTTTCACAAATTTTCATTCTTTTCAGTCATCTTATAGCCAATAGCAAAGCTGTACGCGTCCATCAAACATAGGGATCTTTGCGCGCGTTTATGCCATATGCCAGATGAATTTAGTATAACTGAATTTTATCTATGACGTCATTTTTGAAAATACGCATTTGAGCGTATCTCACTTATCCTTTATCAATCGTCTCCCAACTTTGGGTATGTTATAGCTGAGACAATTCTCTTTCATATACGACTTGTTTTTATTTTATGATGAAGTCATCATGGTCAAAATAAATTTTTTTTCTGACCACCTCCCATCTTTCTTTCCTCAAAACTTTGATGACCCCATATCATATTAACTATTCATCATTTCTGAATCATATTAAGTGGGCATAAACTTAAGGTCAAGGTTAAGGCGCGTACGTGTGCATCAAAATTTATATGTGCTTAAAATCATGCCTATTTTTAATCAGTTATAGCTCCTTAGGATGAAAGCACATGAGTTGTAGATATGATTTTATAGATCATTATGGCTGATCGGACATTGTGACGTCATCATATTGCCATCTGAATTATTAAGAAAAAACTTAATTTTTATTTATGACGTCATTATTTTTATACTCAATTGAATGTATCTTGCTTATTCTTGATTGATCGTCACCCACCTGTGAGTATGTTATAGCTGAGACAATTCTCTTTCGGAAGTGTCCCTTTATTTTTCATTTTGACGACCTCATCATGGTCAAAAAGAATAAATTTTTGGAGCGCTCTCATCTTAGTAGAGGACCTAAGATTTGTTTGCACTTCATTTAGGAGAGAATTTCTCAACTGTTATAGACTAATATGAACCCTAGGAATAACATGGGATGTGTGCTAAAATCTTTATCCAGGACGAACAGCCCGGAAATGGACACGCTCCCCTTTTTATAAGGTGGGGGTATTTTGAAATTAAGCTAGATGGTATAAGAAAATAGCAAATGAAGGGGTTTTTGTTCCAAATGAGCACACATGTCAAGTGGATTAAATTCCTAAAATTACGTCTCAGTCACATTTTCCGTTCATATGCAAATTAGCTTGAATATGTAAATTAGGAGTGAAAAAATAGGGTTCGCATGTGACCACTGGTCTTAGCGAGTTGCTTTCTTTTTAAAATTGTTTAGATTATGCATAATTGCTATTTGTTCTAATGTGAGATTTGCTTTAAAAATGACCGAAAATGCCTTATTTAACCTTTGACCCTAATTTCAAGTTTTCTCTATTCCCATGTCTACTGACTGTAAAAACTTGGTTTCAGTCTCAAATTATTCATATATAATTAGTTTTACTCACTTTTGGTTCAAATTATTGAAGGCACCTAGTCTACTGTAGTCAAAACAGTAACAGTTTTGACCTTTGACCTAGCAGGTCAATTTAGTTGTGTGTAACTTTATAATAATAGGTCAAATATATTAACTTTGATGTCATATTGTTTATAAGTTGTGATTTTATCAGAAATTAACAATAAGCAGCATTTACTCAGTGATTGGGTTTTTACAACAATCACCACCCTTGCATTTACAGTACTTGCAACACCTTATTCTAGCTCTACTACAGGGACACAAATTTTTGTGAGCACATTTGCCACATGTGCAGGGATCTGGCAGGCCATCAGGTTTCGAGATCACAATATCAGGGACTAATAAACTGCCACTACTTACAAAACCAAAATTGCCTAGGTCAATACTAACTCCGGCTACATAAAATTGATTATAAGATTGAAAATATTAATCTTATTTAAGTAAAATAATTGCAAATATACTTTAATATAAAAACAATGTTCTCAGCATTGATAATTGATTCTCAGCATTGATAATTGATGTGGCATCTCTAAATGGGGCTTGGACCCACAACTGCTGTTGGTAGTAGCTACTATAAATATGTTTTCTTGCATTAGTTGAGGACTTTGAGGTACAAGCTGTTCTCTCAAAGTCCATCTTGAGGTTATTGCTATCAAATGAAGCAAGGCGCAGATCGTCAAATGTCTCCAGGTCTGTTGATGGTTTAAGACATTTGACCAAAAAGGTTTCTGCCATCTGTACTGCATCTTGAGGATATTTCCCACACAATTAAAATCGTAACGGTACTGGGTTTGGTCTACAGGAGTTTGTGTTTCGTACAGGTCATTCCATTCATAGAAAAAGCCTTTATATTGGAGAAAGGGTACCTGTCGTTAGCCATAGTAGCCTAGGACAATACTAACTCCGGCTAATATAAAATTGATTATAAGATTGAAAAATATTCATCTTATTATTGTAGTAGTGACACTATGTACACGTTTTAATTATTGTTATTCTTAACATTATTATATTTACATTTAAATTTAATGTATTGTTTAAGTATGAATTACTATGTCCGGGATATTTCCCACACAATTAAAATCGTAACGGTACTGGGTTTGGTCTACAGGAGTTTGTGTTTCGTACAGGTCATTCCATTCATAGAAAAAGCCTTTATATTGGAGAAAGGGTACCTGTCGTTAGCCATAGTAGCCTAGGACAATACTAACTCCGGCTAATATAAAATTGATTATAAGATTGAAAAATATTCATCTTATTATTGTAGTAGTGACACTATGTACACGTTTTAATTATTGTTATTCTTAACATTATTATATTTAATGTATTGTTTAAGTATGAATTACTATGTCCGCGTTAAATTAATCTTATCTATTAAAATTAAAAACTCCGGCTATATAAAATTGATTATAAGATTGAAAATATTAATCTTGTTTAAGTAAAATAGTTGCAAATATACTTTAATATAAAAACACTGATTTTCTAAAATGCAGGTACAGTACATATATACATAGGGACAGGAAACAGGGATTGATGACTCATTTAATATGGTCATCATAGTTTGGGAACACATGCTTTACTGTAGTGGTGGCAACTTTCTGGAGGAGTAGTAGGAAAATAAACCTCAGGAATGTACATACAGTTAGTTACAGATTGCAGTACTACTACAGGTAGGTATGCTCTTGGGAACAAGAGGGTGAACGCCTTAGGTGCCATGCAACTATAGGGGTACTATGCTACAGTGGTGATACTATGTCCACTTTTTTATTATTGTTATTTATTCATTAACGATATTATATATATTATTTATATTTAAATTTAATGTATTGTTTAAGTATGAATTGTACTATGTCCATATTACTATATTATTTAAATATACAATTTTAATAGATAAGACTAGATTTGAACTCGTCACTGAGGACGAGTTAGGTGATCCGCCGCAC